GCAGTCGTGACCACTGCTGTGGAGGCGATGATGGCATGTGGCAGAGAAGTAACTGTTTCTCACCTCCTAATAAAAGAGACTCCTTTTTAATCTTTTCAATTTGATTGCATTCCAAAACCAGGCCTCTCTGCCCATCTGTCTCTCTTAAAGAAGCCTCCTAAAGGGATTTTAATCATCTGACTCTGGGCTTCTCAGGCAAATAGCTACATCTCTCTCTTTCTCTCTCTCCTTCCCTCTTTGTCTGTCACACACATACACACACAAACAGTTTCCAATTTTCTTTCTTGTACTCACTGTCATAGTCTCACTTGTCTCTCACTCTCTGATACAGCATATCGTCTTAGCTCTATTGTGCCATATTTGCGCAGCTATTAGGCCCTTCAGTCCCTCTTCTAGTCCCCCTCAGACACATAAAATTCCCCCAACCCTGTCTCTATTAATCCACATGGCTCTAAATTCTTTATTTCCCTTCAAAGGGACAACGCGAGCCGTGACATCAATCACAGAAAGCGAATATTTAGCTGGCGCTAATTTCCACCAATAGCCTGGAGACAGGCTTAGCTGACAAAACTCATTCCTGCACCGAACAAAACTCCTTGTGTTAAAATCTCCCCTCCCCCGATCCCTCCTGCCTTCTGCATAGGCAAAAACAGCATCACAATAAACACAGTTAGTGCTTCTGTTACTCCCCCTTGATTTAGGCTTATCAAATGAATGTGCACCATAGAGGGATACCCTTTGACAATACATAATAGGTCCATTCTGCATGAAATGGTTTGGTAATACCAGTCGAGTGTGGCAAACGGTTTTACTGGGTGCCACTACAAGAACAGCTGCTGTGTTCTTAGCTGGGCAAGTGCACCACACCGCTTTACCCTTGAGGTTGTTTGAATCGGGTGAGTGGTTTCTTTTTGCTGGTTCCCAGACCTCACTCGTAGTCCTTAGTTCCTCACTCACTTCTGTTTGAATGAGTGCACATTTGCCACAAGATGAGTCCTATAAACCATTTGACCTGTTTCCTCGCCCCTCTGTCTGTGAGCATGTGTGTGGGAGTGTGAGCGGGAAAACTCTTAGTGGGTTCTGATGGGGGTCCAATAGGAGGGGATGAGGCGAGTAGGGGGCATTTTCAGGGAACCCCTTTGTGTGGCTTGGAGGGGCCTCTTGCGGTACCTCTGTCTTCCCAGCCCTCATCCCCAGGCCTCTCCACTCCTGCTATACTCCCTTCACAGCCCAACATAACAACCCCATACTACATCTATATTACTCCCAGTGCAAACGCATGACTGATATCTTGGGAGTCACAACAGAGGGGTATTTAGTGCACCAAGCCTATTTGGGCAAGAAAGCACAGTTGCATTTCTCAAGAGCCATGCGGTTGAACATTGTTGTGCAAATAGTGTGTATTGTGTGTAGTGAGTGACAGTACTGGCCTGGCCTCATAATGCAGCTGGATTTTATAGTTAGTCAGATCTTGATGTGTGCTAAGCCTCAGCACTGATAGCCATTAAAGGTCATTGATTCCCAGCATTAAACACGCTTCTCCAGTCTCTGAATCAAACTGAGCTTGTATATAAAAAGGAAGGGGAAAAACAGAGTAATTGATTAGTATTGTAAGATTTCCAAGAGACAAATGAATGGGTTCTTAAAGAGGTTATAGGATGAATATGAGGATTATGTTTATTCTCATCAACAAATACTGAGCAGTGATCTGTTGACTCAGATTCACACAAGAAATATGTCTGTTTTCCACATCTTGTTTCCTTCTTTGAACCAATGAAAAACCTTCTGACTTTTAGTCCACTTGTGTAATTTTGAAAATAGTGTCAACATGTCAAATTTGTTTGACATGTACACTTAATCTGAAGACAAAGAGGCCTGTCCTATGGCTTGGTATCTATTTTTCTATCTAAATCAGTTATCAGGACTTTAGGCCTTAATGAGAGTTGAACCCAAGGTGATTGTTTTCCTGCCACCAAGAGAACCTTGTTCAACCTAATTGGCTTTGATTGGTCCGTAAACTATTACCCTTATCCTCTTTCACTTGGACAAATTAACCCATTTCAGCCTGATTTAGTTGTTTTTGTAGAATGACGAGGGAGGATGTTCCTGGTAACAAAACAAAGAAGTCACACCACTACTTATGACTCTGTCTGTTCTTGTCAGTATTACAGGACCAGGCAGTACATCTCTCTGCATAAGCCCAGCCACAGCTTCATTTATTATTTAGAGCCCTCTCCACTAGGCCCATTGTATTAAAGGGGTATGATTTGAATAGGAAGTAGCTTCCTGGACCCAGGCGTGTGATGTGTGTGTTCCTCTGTCATTGTATGTTTCTAAGGGCTTCATCCGTCTGCCTCGGCAAGCCAGGGGGCTGAAAGAGAATTTCCATTTTATGAATATTTAATACATAATAAAGTTTTCAATTTTATTCTGTTCAACCTGTAGGGGTAAAAATATGGCAAAGCCAACCCTCAAGGACGGGGCACAGAGTAAAGGTAGTTGATTCGATGAAGGGATCAAAAATATGGTTACATCTGCTCAGTGCCTCAGAAACAATTTACTAAAACACACACATCCAAACATAAAAAAAATTTAACACTACATCCTACGGGGTTTTTACAGTATCTACATTTCCCGCACCTCAAACATCCCTTATGCTATATTACTATTGGATCAGAGGGCTGCCCGCTGTGTCCATGGTGACCTGGCATGGCTCCGTGTGAGATACCCAGCTGGGAGTGCCCCTGAATCAACTTGGGATTAGCCTAGGATTGTCTGGGATTACTCAGGGATGGAGGGGGATTAGCAGTGACTGCCTGTTTCGGGGGCGTGAGTGCCATAGGCTGGCCAAATTGCCCCTGACTCAGACTCAGGGAACAGGAGGCGAACAGAGCCCCACCCACAGTGGAATCACCTGCAACCTGAGCTATTCTTAGATTCTAAAACACACACACACACACACGTACACCCACAAGCAGGGTGACAGAGAAAAACATGTGGTGGAAAACTACATGACAGGAAGCCAGCATGATGATGATGATGCTGCCACGGCTGGCCACCATCCGAAATCTCTCAAATCTCTCTAGCAGGTGGATTCATCAGATAAAGAGGGTTTGGGATGATGACAAATCCCTTCAAGTTCAATGGGGCTGCTCTTCCCTCATACGGGGATAAATTGAGATTTGAATCAGACAGGTCGCACAGAGTTGCAGCACAAAATGGCTCAGCTCTCTGAAACAAGCCCCATTTACAATATTTGGAACGGCATGAAAGCCTACATATGTTTTAACGCAGGCATGCACAGGACTTGATGGGAATGAGTTGGAGTGGTATGATAGGTGGATGATCCAGCCAGCGTGAGACAGAGAATTGGCACGGCACGTAGAGAAGCCGTCAGAAGCAGGAAGCAGGCATCCCCTGCGGACCTGCACTGCCGAGATGAAAGGCTGTTTAGTGTTGGAGCAGCAGCATCAAACAGCCCCCTCCTCTTGCATCCTTTCCCCCATCCCCCACTCTCCCTCCATCTTGCTCTCTCACTCTCTTGACTCTCACCACAATATGATATAGTTCTGCTTTTGCACGTTTACCCGGTTGCCATGGTTACCCAATGCCAGTGGTGTCACAGCAAGATAACCCAAGGAGGCATTCACAGATCACCTGAATTCAGTTTGCCTCCCATTTATATGCTCTCCACTGCCGTTTGATTTATTTGTTGTCTTGCCGTGCAATTCAGTGTGAATACAAATAATCCACAACATAATGGAGATGGTGAAAGTGTGAAAACTCTTCAATCTGAAACAATTTACTGCACCAGTATTTTCCTAAACCACAGGAGGTGCTTTTGATTTGATATTTTCCTGCTTGAGCATCAAAATGTCTCACGCACAACAAAGAGCAAAATTGTAATGACAGACCCTGTTGCACATAAGAAACCTTCAACCTTCAGCAACTCTTGAGTTGTAAAAAAAATAAAATAAAATAAAATAATAATAACTATATCAGATGAATTACTGAGTCAGTCACTGTATATGCCAGTGTTGAGGATAATTGGAAAGTAATTGGTGACACACTGTAAAGTTTAAGGCACAGACTAAAAGCAGATGGCAAAAATGACTTGTTTGCAAAGAAGTGTGATAAATAAGAAAAAAAATCTAGACAAGTTGAAATATGTTGAACTCGGTGACAAAAGAGAAAGAGGGATTGTGATAAAGACAAAACAAGGGAGGGAAAGGGAGATGGGGAGTGAAGGTAGATGTTGGAGGGTAGAATACATCTATTAGCCTTCCTTGCTCCCAGCTCAATCTTGCGATACATCCCCCCAATTCAAGATACGATAGTGGAAGAGACAGGGCTGGCTCTGTGCCAGGCTGGAACAGACTTCAAACATACAGTACGCCCAACCACGGCAGCTTACATCAGCCGAGCTGAAATGAGAAGTAGAGGAGGACAGATGGATTGATGGTAATGAAAGTGGGAGGACTGACATACATAAGGAGAGTGTCTCAAGTCTGAGTCTCTGGCCGTTTCAGGTTGGTTGAAGCTGACAGGGTCTTGCTCTGTGCCAGCTATAGCTGTCCTTCAAACATGATTGTGTTTTTGAATGCGCTCTCAATTTTCTGACTTTGGTTGACACTGATTGCAAAGAGAGCTGAATATCCTGCTGCGTGTTTTGTACATCTATTAATAGACATGAAAGAGACCTCATAATTTGGCACAATTTTTCTTTGACTCAGTATGTATAGACTGAATGATTTATAAGCAGTGTTGACAGCTGTTTTTGGGATTAGTTTTATCTGCACTGTTGAATTTAAGGTTGATGATTAAAAAAAGTCTTAATTTCCCGTGGAAGATTTTACATTAATCTTATTCTAATTTCACACATTTATAGCATCCACCTTAGAAAGGCAGTCTGTATACAAATAGTAAACAATGTAATATGCAGCATATTACAATTTACTGATGTCTCTCTCACTTTGTGTCTCTCTCTCATCCCTGTGCAGAACTCCATTCGTCACAACCTATCACTCCACACACGCTTTATCCGGGTGCAGAATGAAGGGACTGGGAAGAGTTCCTGGTGGATGCTGAACCCAGATGGGGGGAAGATGGGCAAGGCCCCACGCAGGCGTGCAGTCTCCATGGACAACAGCACCAAATACCTAAAAAGCAAAGGCCGCATAAGAGGCAAGAGGGTTGGCCGTCCTGGGATAGGTGCAGGGTCTGCTGTGGTGGGGCTCCAGGGCTCCCCTGACCATGGCAGCCCACCACGGAAAGGCCTTTCAGGAGCTGCAGGTGCAGCTGGGACAGATGGAGAGTTTGACACTTGGACAGACCTCCATTCCAGGGCTAGTTCATCAGCCTCCACCCTTAGTGGACGTCTGTCACCCATCCTTGCAGAGGGAGAACCCGAGGAACCAGAGGAGGGTGGCTTGTCCTGTTCAACCTCCCCCCACCTCTACCCCTCACCAACCAGTGCCCGCTCTCCACCCATGGGTGCAGGGAATCGCTGTCCTCCTCTGGAGCAGCTTCCTCAGCTGGCTAACCTGACAGGTGCCATCAGTCTGGATGAGCAGCTGATGGAAGATAGCTATCATCACCGTCACCCACAGCAGCAGCAACACCAGCAGCATCCAGCTGTTGGCAGACATAAGCACCAAACCCCTGTCTACCACTACAGCTCTGGAGCAAAGGGACAGAGCTATGGTGCAAGTGTCTATGGTGTGACAGGCATGGGGATGCTGCGCCACCACTCACCCATGCAGACCATTCAGGAGAACAAGCCAGCCAGTTTCTCTGGAACCATGCGAGCATACTCTAGCACCAATGCCCTGCAGAGTCTGCTAACAGGGGGTCCATCTGGGCAGCAGTACTGTTCTAAGGACATGCTGTTGGGACAGGAGAGGGAAAGCCATCCAATGATGGGTCAAGCTAGTAATGGAGTAGGCTCCAGCCATCACAGCCACCACCCTGGCCACCACAATGGCCACAGCCACAGTGGACCTCATAGCCACAGCTCAGCTCATAGCCATAACAGAACTCACAACCATACTCCAAGTCATAATCACAACAATGTAACTAACCCCAACCACAATTCACCTCACAGCCTCACTCACAACAGTCATAACCTCAGCCAGAGCCATAATCACACACCTCCCCAGGCTGCAGCCCTGACCCCATGTGGCAACAGCAATCAGCTGCAGACCTACAACCACAAAGTTCCCTACCTGTACAGCCCCCCATCACACGCCCACCTCCCTGCCTCCACTACTCTTCCCCCAAACCCAGCAGGTATGCTTGGCATGCCACAGGACTCCTGCAATGTGGCCACCGCCCCACACCCACATCCCCGCCACAACCATTATCCTGAGCCACAACACCAAGGCATGACTAATGGACTTTACCATCATGGCCAGGGGATGGGGAGTGGTGGCATTGGTAGTGACTACCATGGTTATCACCAACCACACCCCCATGAGAGACTACCAGCTGACCTGGACATTGACATGTTCCATGGTAGCTTGGACTGCGATGTGGAGTCCATCCTCCTTCATGACATTATGGACTCTGGGGAGGAGATGGACTTTAACTTTGACTGCTCACTAGCCCAGGGAGTGGGAATTGGCATGGGTATGGGCATGGGTGTGACCATGGGCATGGGGATGGGAATGAGCAGTCTGGCTGGTCCACAGCAAGCCCATAGCAACCAGAGCTGGGTGCCTGGCTGAAGTCTAGGACAGCAAATCCTACCCTCAGAAAGAACTACCCAACCCATGAAGCACTTCTTCTGTCACCCCTTTCTCTTTTGAATCCCCCTCCCTTTGAGAGATCTAGTTCATTTCACATTAGGTTTTGATATCAGCTATACTGTGATGACAATCTCTCAGCTGTGCTTGCCCAACATTGCTTCTCATCTACCACGAGACTGAACTCTCAATGCACTTTACTGCAAGTGGGTCACATCATCTCACAGTGCAATACATTCACAGAGCAGCTCAGGCAGAGTTTGGCATATTTTGTGAGGTGGGTACAGGATTTGACAGGAACAAATGAGGAAATCACAAGCTGTTGATAAAGTGTCAGATCTTGGATTGAATTAAAGTTGGACTATTTCTCTCTCTTTGTCGGTGGAGAAATTTTTGGAGAAAATAAATAAGTAAAAACTCCTTTGTGTCTTTGCTATTAGATCCTTGCTTTTAAAATTCCATTTTAGCTCAATTTCTTAGCAAATTGAAAATAATAATTAATAAAATAAGTTAAAGATAACCCCTACTTGACACTGGTTTGAATGTATTTATTCAATATATCTAAGTGGAACTCTGAAACCAGTTTGTGCTTTTAATGATACATCAGCAGTCCTGTCATTTACAACTTTGTGCATTTGGTCCTTGGCACTTTGAGTTTTTGCTTGGACATAATATTTTTATGATGCCCTTTTGGCATTGGTTAGAGAATATAGTCACTACATCGTCAGTGGATTTTGTCATTACAGGCTATCATGCATTCTGTTGAATTAAAATGTTGTATCACCTTGTCTCACCTGCGCTTCTTGTGCCAGTTTCAACCTCTCTTTCTCTCTCCCTCCCTCTCTAAATCTCTCCCTTCCTCTGCCTGCCAGTGGAGACAAAGTGACCATTCCTCACCGCAAGCCATTAATGTGGCTTGATTGAAATTCAGCATCTTGCTTTTAATCTCCAAAGTGATGCAGCAGTGATATGTCATTATTGAGAATCTAACACGTTGTCCTCCCATCTCTCACCCCAGCCGTCCGGGCTGCCACTCACCTCTCCGACTTAATGTGCCTGGAAAGCGAGACAAAACTGTGATTAACACTAAGTCACTCTGCCTGATGTCCTGCTCTGAGAAGGGCCAGTGTCACTGTCCGCTTGCCTGCTCACAGAAGGTACAAAAAAACAGAAGAGATGGAGATTGGGGTAGAACAAAAGTCTGATGTTGTAGTGGGATCAATCATCAGCCTCAGTTTCTATGCTCTTTGGGCATGCGTCTTAAAACAGGTTGTGTATTCGTGTTGTAAATCATCTCCATTATCTGTACTGTGTGTTTCCTTGTTCCCATGTTTTTAGTGCTTATATCCTGAGCTTGAAATACTCAAACGTGCGCAAAGGGAGAGATTTAAGGAGAAAGCAATCAGCCAGTCTGAGTGGCATGGGTTTATGTCAGACAGGGTTGTAGTGCCCCACAACCATTCACATCCACTTTTTGTGTGTTTATTCTGTTGTCTTGTAGTTGTTGTTGTATTGTTGAAATTCTACGGACCAACAAGGACAGCGCTGAAATATCCAGAGTGTAAGGATGAAATTCAGTGGTGAAATGATGTTGGTAGTACAATATGACCTTCCTATGCTCCAATACCGTGCACTCCTCCCACATGTGCTCTGCTCAGTTGTCTCTGTGTTTTTGAGTGGAGGAGCCTTGAAGCTTGTTTCTCACTGGCCTTGGGAGAGAAAAAAAGAGGACACCCCTAATCCCTAGTTCCCCCAAGAAGACTCTCTGCACTTGGTCCATACCAGGTATGGCACACAATGAAAAAGAGAGTGGGTAAAAGTGGGTTGGGGGCTATTGTTACAGCCAAAGGTCAAGCATAGCACAGACTATCAGACCCATTACTGAGGTAAATACCTTTATTCCAGAGCTGTTAGCCACACTGGTTCCAGTTAATCTCCGTGTGGAAGATGCATGGAATTTTCTAAGCAAATGGGTTTTACATAGCAGTTATGTTGTAACCTATGCTACAGACATTTAGCAATGGCCTGCTACTGGAAAGAGAGCTATATATGATGTCTAATTTTCCTATATTTATTTATGAAAGACTGGTCTTTGTCATTTGTAAATGTGGTAGTTGTTTGAGTCAACACTGATCCCCTTCCTCTTTTTTTTCTCAGATTTTTTTTAAGATGTCACTCTTCCTTTGCCCCTTATACTGGCTTTTATTTTGTACAAAATCTATATATTGAGAATATTGTATAATAATTTTTAAAATTTCAAAAGAATATCAGTTTTGTTGTCTATTTCTTTTTTAAGAGAATGTATCTCATCATCTGGTGACTGTTAAATAAATAAAATTAAAAGAACGTGCAACTCTGTTGTTGCATTTGTGTGACTGTTACCACAAAAATACATTTTATTCATTTATATAGTTTTAATTCAATTCAGAAGGTTTTTGTTTAGCTTTCTTCTCTTTGTTAGCCGTTATTTCATGTCTTCCTATACACGTACAAATGATGAATGAATGTGTGTTACTTTTTAATTTGTTCCTTTTTCCTGTACTACAGACAACCCCTGTAGTTGTGTTTGACCAGGGCACCTAGTCGCTGCGTGGGAGGCAGAAAGTGGGTTGTATGAAAAATGTACCATCACCCACAGAGTGGTGGAGAAGCATCACTTGTGCTAGAAACTGTATGAAAAAGAAAAAAGAAGGGTGGTGTGTTTGTGTGTGTGTGTGAAAGAGAGAGAGAGGCAGATATTACCTGAAAAGACAGACAAAAAAAGGAGGCACCCAGACAGCCAGACAGAGTTGGCAGGATTGGAGTAATAAGTGTGCACACGTCTGTCTCAGTGTGTCTGCGTGTCATAAGGCTTGTTATGGCCCATGAAGCAGTGTAGGTTGGCCACAGCTGTCCTGGTCCCATCGGAGGCGTTTTCACAGGAGGAGTGTGCAGTGCTACAGCGCCATACTGCCAGGCCCCAGGGGAGCCCCCGCCTCTCCACTCACTCAGACATTTACACGTACATAAACTCACACAACACATGCACATTCACACACATACATTTGAAAATATCACAAATTCACACGTTTATACAAAGAGGCACACAGAGCAGTTATGAAACTATATGCACCGAACGGCACACTCAACCAGACGTCTCACTTAGATGTACACTTTTAATTGACTCCACTTGGCAAAGCCTTTCTGCTAAAGGGTGAAAGCTAGGCAGCGTATATTTAAAGCTGAAGATGCTTGACTCAATAACATACAATTAAAAAAATGTTTTTGTAAACATGTTGGAGTGTGATAAGTTCACTCATGGCTCAATAACTTTATTAGATATTTCGTAATTTCACAATTAGGCCAAACTGACTGACTGAGCGTAACTGAGACTGAGAGCATGGCATAAAGCCAGAGTCTCTTCACTGCCTATCTCCTGAGAGATAGACAGGTTGAGGTAGACAGAAAAGTGGTCCAGTCCCGGTGCTGTGCCTCAGGGAGTGTCTGCTCCTCTGTTCCTCATTATCAGAGAGAGAGAGATGCTGCATTACAGTGTCATTATTCATCCACTCAAGCATCTGGGAGCAGGTTCTTTCTTACTTGGCCCAGTGATATTGTCGTAGAGACCGCCCTTGGAGCCAAAGGCTGGCTGGGGACACTGCTAACTGCTAACAGACAGACCCACCCAGGCAAGGCTCCAGATGTCCTTGAATATTTCAGCATTTCTCACTTTCCTGGCTGAGCTGCAAAATAAAAATCTGTTATATCTTAATTCAATTGTTCATAGAAATGAACAAATCTCCATTATGGAAGGGTGATATAAGATTCTTAGCAACTGCAGCAACCATAAAAATAATTTTAATGACTACCATGAATCTTTATTAATATTTAACTTTTCAAAGACAGACAAAGAGGCTGAATGTCACACTTACAATGAATCTACCGAGTCTTGAGGGGCTCTTGAAGAACAGATCACATTAACAAAGCACATCTTAGTGGAAAAAAGTTACATTTCTTTTACTGTAACATGCTGTGGTGTTATGGTGAGAATGCAAGTGATACTAAAGTTTGTCCTGCAAACTGGCTCCATATGGAAAAAGAGCTAAGGGAGGACCACCAGGAGAGGCTAGCCCCTGGCTGAGTTGTTTCATTTGGAGATGACATGTATTTTTTTATCCAAAATCAACAAGTTGTGGCAACATCACTGTCTGCCCCAGACTCGAAGTGAGTATAACTCAGGGGCACACTGAGATTTAAAGGAATTGGCATGGGGCACTCTGCCTATCTGCTGCTCAGCTAAGGCCAAGAACAGTACTTGTGCTCTGTTTTTCTAAGATTATTTTGAAAGATATAATTTGGCCTAAACTTTCAGTGCTAGGGCAAAGGGTTTAAGACTTATTTTCTTAACAAGGGTTTGAGCCACTCAAGGTTCACCTAGGGTTAAAAATTGAGACTGTACTCTCAAAACAAGGAACAGCATCAGTTGTGCACAGAAATGACCAGCTGAAGATTCTGATGTAGGGATATTACAGATTTTATAACAAATTCTTCCTAATTTTAAAGAAAGTAACAGTTTATGAAAGGGCTTTTCTGCTGGGTTAACTATTATGGCTTTTATTTCTCTGCTCTCAAAAGCAGCAACAGCATCAAATATATGGTCAAAGAGCAGGTATTAAAATGGTGAACAACCTCCTTGGTGTGGTGTTGGAGAGAATGTTTAAAAGGTGTGAGTCTGGTGCACAGAGACTGGGACAAAAGATGACAACGTTAAAAACTGGCCTCATGGACAAATGGATAAAACCATTTCTTTGAGAACGAATGACATCTGTTTTAATATATTCTCTTTCACTAAAGGAACAAAAGTAAAAGATTTCACAGATTTTATTTCAGTATGAAAATACTGTATTTAATGATAAATGTAAAGCATTCCATTAACTCTGCCAAACCATGAAAGAATGCACCATTTAGGTTTAAGCCATTATAAATGACACCACAGATAGGTCTTTGCATCACTTCAGATGGCTTGAATTTTCCTCCCATCAGTGTAAACAAACCTTAACAGCATCAGCAAACATTAATAACATGCATTCAGTTGTTATCTAGTGTTAATCCACATATTAAAAGACCAGTCAACCAATCTGGGAATGATAGAAGTTTTCAGTCCTTCATTTTTGGTTGTGAAGACAGTCTTTTCTTTATGCTGCACCTTAACCACAAATTGCTGGCACAGCTCATGAACTTTTTCTTAAGAAACCTATTTACCATTCTCATAATAATTGCTTTGGGATGCTTTGCCTCAGCCTGGCAATCAACTATTTCTTGTCAGCTCTAGCTGATGCATAGCTGGCTCTTACTCAGAAAATTAAGGCCAATTATCTTGAAACAAGTCTAATAATCTGGTGGAAATTGTGTTTGAAAAGACTATTTCTTTTTATGATCTAAGCATTCTAAAACAGCATCTTGTGACTTTCCTAAATCTGGAAATGCAATAAGAGCTTTAATTTGAAGGGCTGTATAAGAATTTTATCTAAGGTTGTTTGGAATAATTCCAATCATGATATACACTGAAGCAATGTAGTGTTAAGAAAAATAAATGGTGGCCACAGAGGGGGATATAGAGAATTTTGGATACTCAGAGAGGGTTGTCACATTTGAAATACATGTAAAAAGTCAATTAAATACCTAGTTCTATGAAATAATACACCACACATTATGAAGTATCAAATTGTTTATTTTGTGTAAAAATGAGACACAGATAGTGCTTTGGCTGTGCTCTTCATTTACTCCTGGCCGGGGACATTGCTGCTGCACAATGGTTCTCCCCCCACTGAGGCAAATTGTGCCAAGTACTCCACAACATGACAGCTGAAGAAATGAATGCAAATACTATGCTGCATGTATGATATAAAATAGAAACAAATTTGATTATAAGGCCCCAGAACTTGTTTTTTTATTTTTCAATAATTAATACTGACAAACATCACGAGGGTATGTTAAACCACATTTTCAAAACCCAAACCTCCGCCTTGCTGGAGTGTCCCTGAACAAGACGCTAAACCTGTCCTTGCCCCAGGGTCCCTACCAGCTCTGACTAATCTCGGCAGGGGAGGTGTGGTGGATGGATAGGCTGTCAGTTCAGTGATCAATAGACGTTACACTAAAATCAGTTACAAGAGATACTGCCTTTAAAGAATTACAATCGTGTGAAAATTGCTCCAGAACTGGGGGTTGCATTGACAAATTCATCACTAACTTTGATTGACAAGTACTTCTTAAGTTCTTCTGAGATAGAGCTAATCACTGCACACTGTTAAAACTGAAATGTTTTATCTAGTAAAGACTTTAGTAATGTGTAAAAGAACATTTAACTCTGAGCTTCCATATGTGTACTGTGTATATGTATATTGTGAATCTACTACCACTTTCGGCTGTTCCCCGTTGGGGGTCGCCACAGCGAATCAACTGTTCGCATCTATACATTGAACACGCGTTTTACACTGGATGCCCTTCCTGATACAACCCAAATTGAAATATATATATATATATCTGGAACCTTCTTGCTGTGAGGCAATGGCACGACCCACCACGCCACCATGCTGCCCTATATGTATATTGTGAATACTGTATAGTATTGTATAATATTATAATCCTAGTAGAACAGTGATGGGGAATAGAAAGGTATTTTCCATGTTATGTTATGTCTTCCAGTATTTCACGGCACCATAACAACCTGTTGTGTCCTGATGCTTTTCTTCTTTTCTCTCTCCTCTATCCACTCACCCCAACAGGTCAAGGCAGAAGGTCGCCCACTGAGAGCTGGGGTCTGTCAGAGGTTTCTTCTATTAAGGGGGGTGTTTCATCCCCACCGGCACCAAGTGCTTGCTCAAGGGGCATTTGCTGGTTTTCCTTTTAATAGTGTAAGGTCTAGAACTGATTATGTAGGAGCGAGCTGAGACAATTGTTGTTGTGAATTGGTGCTATGAATTTAATTGAATTTAATTAAAGCAATGCTAAGACATACAGTACCTGACATCCAATCAACTGTTATTTTTCGGTGATCACTATAATATTAACCAAGCTACAGTATCTATCATATCAACCTAGCTGTGTGGAGCTAACACTTTGTTATGTGTCTGTTCATTTATTCTTGGGTTAACTGTTATGTGTTTTACTCTTTTTGCCTTGTAGACTCAAAGTGTGTGTTTACTGCATTAA